ATTGAGTTTCAATAGACAATCAGGGTCAGGTGACATTAATCTATCTAGTCCTACATACCATTCTGGCATTGACAGGTTCCACAGGGCTAGAGTCACTTAGCCCTAGGTGCACAATTCTAATGTACGAGTATACTTTTCTTTTCTAAAGCCACTATAGGAAAAATGGCTCAGTATAACTTTAGAATTCGTCTACTACATATCAAGCACTGTAATAAGTAAACATTTCACACACATCCTCTCTCATCTTTGCAACAGTCCATAAAGTAAGGGTTATATTACCCATTTAAAAGACACTGGAAAGTCGGAGGATTTAAATGACCTTACCTCAAAAGATAGAATCCACACCAGGATTTGAACCCAGGTCTCTCTGGTTTCAAAACCCTGCCCAAATAATTTCATTATACTACCAATCCAAGGAATAAAGAAACTTAAGGTATCTTAGTCAGACAAAAGTGGTAAATTAATGAGAGAAAGATGAAAAAAAATTAACCCTAGAAACCAAGAAATATACTCAGTATTATTATTATTACTTTAGAGACAGTCTTGCTATGTTACCCAGGCCCATCTCAAAGTCTTGGCCTCAAGCAATCCTCCCAACTCAGCCTCCTGAGTAGTGGGGATTACAGGCATTACAGGCATGAGCCAACGCCCCCAGCAAGAAGTCTGTATGTTCTTATCATACATGTGACTAAATGAAATTATACTCTAGGAAACCAACAAATTAGAATAATATTTTAAATATCATGACTACTGTACAACTCTGCCAAAGGTATTTTTAAAATGTCAAGGATTTTTAGGCTGATGTATTAAATGCACACAATCTGCAATTCTAGTTGTGATCAATAACATGCCCATAAATCAGAGAGTACTTCTATGAAAACAATCGCAGCCTACAAGTATGGATAAAACTCCTCAGTTTTACCTCTTAGATGGTTCTAGACAATTTCAGAATTCATGCCTCTTTCTTCAACTCTCTCATTAATCTTATCCTTGGCAGTAAAATAATCTTACCAATTGGTTTCCCTATGAAATTGTGAATGAAAATTCCCATTTCTCTTTACTAGGTCTTGTTAGCTGCCATCTCTGGGAAGGAGAAAGTGTTTTTATAGACAGGCATGTCAAGGACAAATAACGGAGCTGAAATGCAAGGGTGGATGGCAAATAAATTGCATCTTGTGAACTAACTCCAACTAATTTCTGCCTGGAGCACTGTGTTTAAAAGGATTCCTAGGCCATACCTGGAGGGACTCAGGAAAAAAACAAAAAGAAGTAAGGAAGGTAAGTGGCGAATCAGTAAAGTGTAGTGTTACAGTAGCCTAGGGTTTCAAGGAAAGGAGATTATAATATCAAGTCAGGCAGAGCAGCAGTCAAACAACATGAAGAAAAATGTCCGTGAGACTTGGCATGCAGGAGATCACCAATGTGCCTATTGACAAGTTCAGTAGTGTTGTGAGGGAAGTTCAGTAGTCAATGGGCTAAAGCTGAAATGAGTAGACACAGAGACAACAGGTATAAACCAGAGACAGAGACAGTATACCGGATGGCTGAAGAGTCAAATACTTACAGAGCAAATGGGGATACAGACAAGTGTCTGACGTGTGTACTGGCCTTCTCAGGACAAATATTCTATCCCCTAACAACTATAGGAAAGGGGTAAAGAGGGATACCCCTATAGGTCAATTTATAGAAAAGGGCAAAACCTTAAACATCTCATTGAAGTAGGAGCTAAGAACCTCTGTTCAGGTGAAGAGACAGGAAGGTCAAGAGGGGGAAGGAGAAGATTTGGTAAAGTTCTTGAAGAGAATGAGAGAACTAAACAGGAGGACTAGGCAAACAAAAGGCATCGGACAAGGCTGAGCACTCAGATGAGGTTTAAAAGATTTAACAGTTACTTTAAAACAGGGTTCATCTGTATGACTAGTTGCTTTTTCTTTAGCCCTCTCATACAGAAGTAGAACAACAGACTATGGATTGGGCTGGCATTTTACCAGGGTACAGAAGGAAGACAGGGGCCCAGGAAAGGCCCAACGTTGGGAGTATTTCAGTTAATCTCCTATGAGATCCAGGCTGGATAGGGTAGGAAGGTCAGTCATAAGAAAAATACAAACTCGTGAGACTGCAGAGGCTTGGAAGGAGAAAATGCGTTGGGTGACAGTGAGATGCAGAAGATTGCTAAGGTGACGCACCTATAGATGAGAAGGTGGAGGTCCCAGCCTGGGTAAAGGGTGACTGATCTACATCTGGTGATGACCACTGGCATTAAAGGAATCCAGAAGAGATGAGGCTTTTTCTGCTTGTGTCAGTTATCTCCTTATTCAAGTTTATCTTCACCAGTGAAAACCTCTGAAAGTTGTCAACTTCATTAAGGTAAATACAGAAGACATATTCTATTCAAAATGACAAAATGCTTCTAGAGAAAAAGCACCATACGCATGGTCAGGAAATTGAATGCATGATCCTGGATAAATCATGGCATTTCAATGTTTGAGGTAATATATAGTCTGTCTGTCCTCTTTACTCCTTAATTCTCTGTCTATAAAGACAGCAACAATATAATCAGCCATATATCTTTTTTTTTTTTTTTTTTTTTTTTTTTGAGATAGAGTCTCATTCTGTCACACAGGCTGGAGTGCAATGGCACGATCTTGGCTCACTGCAACCTCCACCTCCCGGGTTCCAGCAATTCTCCTGCCTCAGCCTCCCAAGTAGCTGGAATTATAGGAGCCCACCACCACACCCGGCTCATTTTTGTATTTTTAGTAGAGACGGGGTTTCACCATGTTGGCCAGAATCAGCCATATTAGACAGAGTGAGACCCCCAAGTCAAAAAAAAAAAAAAAAAAAAAAAAGCCTGGGCACATTGGCTCACGCCTATAATCCCAGCACTTTCAGAGGCTGAGGCAGGTGGATCTCTTGAAGTCAGGAGTTCAAAACCAGCCTGGCCACATGGTGAAACCCCGTCTCTACTAAAAATACAAAAGTTAGCTGGGTGTAGTGGCAGGTGCCTGTAGTCCCAGCTACCCAGGATGCTGAGGCAGGAGAACCGCTGGAACCCAAGAGGCAGAAGGCACAGTGAGCCGAGATCACACCACGACACCCAACCTCGGCAACAGAGTGAGACTCTGTCTTAAAGAAAAAAGAAAGAAAAGATTATAAAGGCAGAAATTCTTGGGGTGAGGAGAAGAACTTTAAAATACAAAATTAACTAGATACTTTTTCAAGAAGAAAAATATCAGGGAGTACTGAAAAAGAACAATTATATAAAGAAAGAGAAATTAATCTAAATAGCAACCAAAAACCCTATAAGAATGTATCAGCAGTCCATCAAAAAACAAGTAGCTACAAGCTTGACACTAATTCAAAGTCAGTATTTTCTTGTAACTGACAGACTCAGGGAAAGACAAGCCAAAAATGAAAGTTACTTTATCCACCATATAGGAAAAGAAATTTGTCATCCATAACATAAATTGCTAAAACCTAACAGCATTTATTTTTAGATAAAAAGAGTATTAAGGAGAGCTGGTAAAAACAATTCATTACAAAGTAAGTTTTGTGTGTGTATGTATGTTTAAGTCTGGCATTCATTTACAAAAACTGACTTGCTCTTTTTCCAGGCAAAAATATGTACTTTTGGAACAAGTAAAAAATTATAATAACATGAAAAAACAATATTTATGAAGAAGTGTAAGCTTAAACATAGTTCTAGCCATAAAAAGTCTGCTCTTTTGCAAAACATCAAACTTGGAAATTTGCCAATATTATAGGAAACACTTTACAAATGAGTGTGTTCCCTAATCCTGCAATTCTAATTTAGGAATTTATCGTGAGGAAATCACGATGGATACACGCAAAGGCTTTACTATGTATAATAGTAAAAACAGAACATAATCCAAAAGGCCAACATTAGGGAAATGGTTACATAACTTATGGTTTATCTTTATTATGGAATATATGCACCATTTATTTTAGAAAAACAAACAAAAAAATCAAATTACATGGGGAAAAGCTTGGACTACTGAAGAGTAAACAATGTTACAGAATTTGTAGTAATGTGTGATTTCAACTTTCTTTTTGTGTTGTTGAACTATCCGTACTTTCTAAAATGAGCACTACAAAAGGCATTTATAGCTTTTGTTATTTAAAGTTACTTCAAAAAAATCTTGCCACTTCTTCCTCAAAGCACTTAGCAAATGAAATACAAAAACACTGAAAAACTAGTTTTTCACATTATTTTGTAAACATATTTTACTAATAATTTTAATGCTATTTTATTACCTAGCAAGTATTTGTAATTTACAAAAAAAAAAAATTGATTTAAGAAAAGTATTTAGAAGCTCGTGTTATCATATTGAGAGCAATGACTAAGCCCGTCTTTTCAGTCTCAACAACTCATCTAATTCATCAGGAGCTCTTATTACATTCAGTTTCATCCTGTCTGTTTCTCTCTGTAGAGAACTGGCGCAGGCACTGGCCGGGTGCGGTGGTGGCTCATGCCTGTAATCCCAGCACTTTGGGAGGCGGAGGCGGGCAGATCATGAGCTCAGGAGATGGAGGCCATCCTGGCTACATGGTGAAACCCCATCTCTACCAAAAATACAAACAAATAAGCCAGGCATGATGCCACACGCCTGTAGTCCCAGCTACTTGGGAGGCTGAGGCAGGAGAATCGCTTAAACCCGGGAAGCAGAGGCTGCAATGAGCCGACATTGAGTCACTGCACTCCAGCCTGGGCGACAGAGCGAGACTCATCTCAAAACAAACAAACAAAAATCATATTAAGGTAACAATTAAGTGATGTGAAATAGTCAACAGCATGGGATCTTTCCTAATTATGGTTGGAACAGTTGCAATTCCTTTTCTATTGAAAAGAGTCATTAGGAAAATAAAATGAATTAGCATGGACAAGGCACTTATTATAATAAACATAAAATGTTGGTTACATAAGTAAATGAATTAATAAACATGGAAAACCACATAATGCACATACATTCAATACCTACTTTCGAAGGTGGTCATGTTCTTTCAAAAATAGCTCAGTTCTTCTGTTGTTTACTCCAGACCCACTTTTATATGATCTGGAACAAAAGAGAAAATTTAAAAACATTTTTGGCAGAGAATACAAAATCAGATTAAGTGACTGACCCTAGTGATCTTGAAAGTAGAAAAATTGAGCCTCTCCACAGTTTTGAATGAACAATGAAAGTGCATAATCCTTTGCATTTCCCTCTGAAAAATGTTATTATAAGTAGATAAATATTAATGCCTCTGCCTCTCTAATTTAGGCCTCACAGTTTACAATGTTTTTCACCAAAATAACTCAACATTCTGAAACAACCCACCAAAAAAATCTTACTTTTCCTTTACCTCCTATCTCTGATATCTTCATTTTTCTCCAAGTGGAAGTAAAACTTAGGACTGATTTAGTACATAGCACACAGGGTGGGAAAGCTGTTGAAATGAAATGTTTTCTTTCACAATAATACATGTAGTCTACCATCTGAAGCCTAAGGAAAACTGAAATCAAGCTAAAGATTTGCTCATCTTGGCACACTTAAGGATAACCGTTTTGGTCTTCAGTGTATTGAAGTTGACAAAAAAATTACTCTTGGGCCGGGCGCGGTGGCTCACACCTGTAATCCCAGCACTTTGGGAGGCCGAGGCGGGTGGATCACGAGGTCAGGAGATCGAGACCATCCTGGCTAACACGGTGAAACCCTGTCTCTACTAAAATTACAAAAAATTAGCTGGGCACGGTGGCGGGCGCCTGTAGTGCCAGCTACTCGGAGGCTGAGGCGGGAGAATTGTGTGAACCTTGGAGGCAGAGCTTGCAGTGAGCAGAGATCACGCCACTGCGCTCCAGCCTGGGCGACAGAGCGAGACTCCTTCTCAAAAAAAAACAAAACAAAACAAAAACAAACCTACTCTTATCACTACTATCGAAAATTTAATTTTTCTGTTTTCCCCTAATAAGAAAGTAGCGGGAACAATTTTTTTTTTTTTTTGGAGACACGGTCTCACTTTCTCACTTTGTTACCCAGACTGGAGTGCAGTGGCACAATGTTGGCTCACTGCAGCCTCCTCAACCTCCCAGGTTCCAGTGATCCTCCTGCCTCAGCCCCACAAGTAGCTGGGACTACAGGAGCATACCACCATGCCTGGCTAATTTTTGCTTTTTTTTTTTTTTTTTTTTTTTGAGATGAAATCTCACTCTGTCAACCAGGTTAGAGTGCAGCAGTACCATCTCGGCTGACTGCAACCTCTGCCTCTCGGGTTCAAGTGATTCTCGTGCCTCAGCCTCCTGAGTAGCTGGGATTACAGGTGCCCTCCACTATGCCCAGCTAATTTTTATATTTTTAGTAGAGACGGGGTTTCACCATGTTGGCCAAGCTGGCCTTGAATTCCTGAGCTCAAGTGATCTACCTGTCTCGGCCTCCCAAAGTGCTAGGATTACAAGCATGGGCCACCATGCCCAGCCCAAAATTTTTAAAATTCAAGTTAACTGTACAAATACTACAGTAAGACAAAAAAGAGTCCTGCTGTTAAAACTGAAATACTGGCTGAGATGCAGGGCTACTGTGCAAAGCACAGGAGAAACTACCACCCAGGAAGGCAGAATGATATAACCAAGAACACATGATGACTTCAATTTAAATCTATACTCCATCATTTCACAGTCACTTCACCTTAGACAAGTGTCTCAATACCTAGTTTTGTAAAATGAGACTGATGATTTCTATCTTAACCAAAAGATTGCTGTGAGGCCAAAAAATATAATATATTAAAAATTACGGTGTAAATTACTACATATACTTTCTTCTAGCACCTAGATTCTAAACTCCTACAGGGCCACACTGGTCTTTTCATTTCTCTCTCTTTTTTTTTTAAGACAGAGTCTTGCTCTGTCATGCAGGCTGGAGTGCAGCGACACGATCACAGCTCACTGCAACCTCCACATCCCAGGTTAAACTGATTCTCCTGCCTCAGCCTCCCAAGTGGCTGGGATTACAGGCGCCTACAACTACACCCAATTAATTTTTATATTTTTATAGAGATGGGGTTTCACCATGTTGGCCAGACTGGTCTTGAACTCCTGACCCAAGTGATCTGCCTGCCTCAGCCTCCCAAAGTGCTGGGATTAGAGGCGTGAGCCACCGTGCCTGGCCGGTCTTTTCATTTCTACCTTCTACTGTGGCTAACTCAGAGTTGGTACTGAGGAGACAGTTTAACGAATAGATGAACATATCTTTTATGGCCATTTTGCATTCCTCAAAATGTATATATAAATGGACTATACAGAAATCAAACAAAAGACTTAAATGTCCTGAAGGACTAAAAATATTACAACAGTTTTACTGCTGAAACTGTCATTGTTACAACAAAATAAAGGATCTCTAGGAAAGTGTTTCTGAGAGTACATATAATATATAGTTTATGATAAATGTGTATCATAGTTTATAAAACATATCACATAGTTTATCACAAATGAGATGATGACAGGTATCATTCGATAGCTCCAAACTGGAAAGTCTTCAGCTTCAATGAGATGCCCACGGGACTTTGTCAGTAGCGTTCAGTTGTGAAAAAATCTCCAAAAATGCATTTGAAATGCTAGAATAGATCATTAAAAGTGAGGTAAAGGGACAGAGGAAAAAAACAAATATTTAAAATTATAGATTGAGATCAGTATGAGAATGCTGGGAGTCCTTAAATAATTTAACATAAGGCTGTGAGTTTGTACATATTATTGTTTGTAATATATAATTGTTGGGACAAGGGAGAGGGGCAAGTGATAGGTGATAATCAGGAAGAGAAACATGGAGAGCTTCAGTTACGGATAATGTTATAATTAAAGAATTTCTTTTTTCTTTGACACATCTGCAGAGGATCATAAAAGTAACATTATAATTCTTAGGGTGGGTGGTAAGAGATGAGAGAACCATGAAGATACCATCTAAGCTGGACTTTGAATTAAGACAGGAAAGTCAAGGTTGGCAGGAGCCAATGATAGAGGAAGCATGAGATAAAAATGGAAAAGTAGATTAGGATGACGCTGTAGCAGCAATGCTCAAAAGACAGTGAAATGGGAATTGGAAACCCTGAAATCTCAACCATGGTTCTGCCACTCAATTTGCAATTAACCGTGAACATATCCTAAAGCTAAATCTGAATAAATATTCTACAAAATAATATAAAAGGCAACTTACTCAATATCTTTTCGTACTGATCCCATGAGATTCTCCCTTTCCCGTATTGCCATAAAGTTTGCTTTGGTTTTATGGAATTCATGTGTATAATCCTGTAATAAATCAACATCCAGTCTCAACAGAAGCTAATTAAGGATTTTCATCTCACTGAACCAGTTATGCATTATCATCACACTGTAAATTTGTCAAGAAAACTGCTATTTAAAAAATTAAATTAACCAAAGGTAAAAATAACTTTAAAATTACTTTGCTGAAGAGTGACCAACTTCTTTCAAATGAAAATAATTCAGTGCTAGGCAAACAGAGCCATTAAATCACTCTCCTTTGTACCTCCTAGTACTTTGTCTTATGAGAGACAATTAAGAAGAAAAAAATTCTGACATAAAATAACTTCAAATAGTCTAGGAGAAAACTTGAGAGGCTCTTTCTACTTAACAGTAAACGTAACAGAGTTTATTTTCAAAGTTCATCATTTTGGAGCTCTCACAAAAAATTTAATTCCTAAACAAAAAAGAATCAAAAGAACTGTAAGGAACAAAATAATCTTTAAACATTTTCTATTATTTTTGTACCACTGTTAAAAGATATTAAGAATATTCACTACTTTTCATAAATTCGGAGATGTAGATAAAGAAGAAAATAAAAGTCTTGTCTCCCACAGAGTCCCTGTTGACCTTTTAAAAAACAAAAGTAACACATAAACACGGAGGAGACTATTAAAAGAGCACCAAAAGAAATAAAGGTGAAACAAAGGAAAACAAACATTCTGCTCCATCCCTCATCACTGTTACCATCATTTTGCATTTTCTTCCAGGAAATTATTATTTTCTTTCTTTTGGAGACAAGAGTCTTGCTCTGTCACCCAGGCTGGAGTACAGTGGTACCATCTCAGCTCACTGAAACCTCCACCTCCCAGGTTCAAGCGATTCTAGTGCCTCGGCCTCCCTAGTACTGGGACTACAGGAGTGTGCCACTACATCCAGTTAATTTTTGTATCTTTCGTAGAGATGAAGTTTCACCATGTTGGCCAGGCTGGTCTTGAACTCCTGACCTCAAGAGTTCCACCTACTTTAGCCTCCCAAAATGTTGGGATTACAGGCGTGAGCCACTGCATCTGGCCAGAAAATATGTTTTTACATATACAAGCTTATCTATTTCTTTCACTTTGCCAAATAAGTCATAATATACATTCTGATGTACACCCTGCTTTTTGTACTTCATAAAGTATCAAGCAATCTTTCCATATTAGGAAAAAGAAAACTACATCATTCTTTTTAATAGCTGCATAGAATATTATCTTATGATTATCACAATTTAATAAATTCCCTACTGATAAACAATTTAGTTGTTTTCATTTTGTTTCCTATTAAAAATACTGCAAGATCCAGGCACGGTGGCTCATGCCTGTAATCCCAGCACTTTGGGAGGCCAAGGTGGGTGGATCACTACAGGTCAGAAGTTCGAGACCAGCCTGGCCAACATGGCGAATCCCCATCTCTACTAAAAACACAAAACTTAGCCAGTGTGGTGGCACGCACCTGTAGTCCCAGCTATTTTGCTCAGAAGGCTGAGGCAGGAGAATCACTTGAACTTGGGAGGCAGAAGTTGCAGTGAGTTGAGATCATACCACTGCACTCTAGCCTAGGCAACAGAGCGAGACTCTGTTTAAAAACAAAACAAAAAAGATACTGCCAATAAACATTCTTATATGTATTTTTTTAACTGAGCTCTTTTTTTTTTTTTTTTTAAAGTATATTTAGGCCAGGCATGGTGGCTCACACCTGAAATCCCAGCACTTTGGGAGGCCGAGGCAGGCAGATCATGAGGTCAGGAGATGGAGACCATCCTGGCTAACACAGTGAAATCCCATCTCTACTAAAAATACAAAAAATTAGCCGGGCATGCTGGCAGGCAACTGTAGTCCCAGCTACTCAGGAGGCTAAGGCAGGAGAATGGTGTGAACCCGGGAGGTGGAGGTTGCAGTAAGCCGAGACCACGCACTGCACTCCAGCCTGGGTAACATAGTGAGACTCTGTCTGAAAAAAAAAGAAAAAAAAAGTGTATTTAAGGAGTAAATGTCTATTAAGTTCAAAAGAGCTTATAAAAAAAAAAAAAAAAAAAAGGAGTAAATGCCTAGCAATAGAATAATTAGATCAGGGCTGGGCACGGTGGCTCACGCCTGTAATCCCAGCACTTTGGGAGGCTGAGCTGGGTGGATCACGAGGTCAGGAGTTTGAGATCAGCTTGACCAATATGATGTAACTCCATTGCTACTAAAAATACAAAAATTAGTCGGGCGTGATGGTGCATGCCTGTAGTTCCAGCTACTCGGGAGGCCAAGGCAGAAGAATCGCTTGAACTCGGGAGGCGGGGGCTGCAGTGAGCCGAGATTGCACCACTGTACTCCAACACTCCAGCCTGGACAACAGAACGAGACTCCATCTCAAAAAAAAACCAATAACTGGATCAAAGAATGTTACATTCATTTACATTCTGGTAGTGCTAAACTGCCTTCTAGAAACATTACATCAATTTATGTTCCCACCAGCAATATAGGAGTGCCGTTTTTTAATTTTTATTCTTGCCAATAATGGGTTATAAATGTTTCAACATTTGCTAACCTGACAGGTGAAAAATCACCTCTTTTAGATTTCTGTATTTTTATTTGGAAATACTGCTGAAACTGTTTTTATAGTTTTGGCCACTCATTTTTTGTAAGCAATTTTACACCCTTTGTCCATTTTCCTACTGTCTTTTTCTTATTTCTATTATTTCTCTGTGTAGTAAGCAAATTAGTCATTTGTTACAGTTTCCAGTATCAAGTCTTATTTAGAAAGTCCTTTCTGCTCAAAAGTTTATCAATTTCACCTCTGCTTTATGGTTTCTTTTTCTACACTTCTTGGATCCATTTGGAATTTGTTCTGGATGTGAGGATTGAGATAGAATTTTTTTTTTAAAATCCCTGAATAATTAGGCAATGGTTATAGTTCCATTTATTTTATAATTTCTCTTTGCCGCACTGATTTTAAACAACATCTTTATCAGAAACTAAAAATTTCCATACATAATTGGGTCTACATATAAACTCTACTCTGTTTAATTGTTCTTATTTATTTAATTTTTTTTCCCTCTAGTATCAAACTGTTTCAACTATTTCAGCTTTTTAACAGGTTTTAAGATCTGGGAGAACTACAAACCCTCTACCACTTATCTTCATTTTCAAGTTGTTCTTCTTGGTTGTTCTTGTATGTCTATGATTCCAAATGAACTTTGGTATCATTCTGTCATTTGTTTTTAATTAAACAAACAACAAAACAACCCTGCTGTTTCCACTGGGATGCCATGCAATTCAGACGAAAGTCTTCCCATCCAAAAACGGACTGATTCTTTCCTTTACTTAAATCTTGTTCTATGTCCCTCAGTAGAATTTTGCACATACAAGTCCTACACATTTCTTATTTAATTCATACATAAATACTTTATAGTTTCTTCCATTATATTTTCTAACAGGTTATCATTTATTTCCTATCATAGTAGGAAAACTATTTGCTTTTATGTATTCATTTTATAATCTACCATCTTACTGAATTTAATTGTTTCTAACTTTTTATCAGGTAATTTTCCTGGGTATACTAGACATAAAATTTTATCCTGCTACCTCACAGAAATTTTGCCTCTTCCTTTCCAATATTTACAACTTTTTTTTTTTTTTTTTTTGAGACAGTCTCACTCTGTTGCCCAGGCTGGAGTGCAGTGGCACAATCTCGGCTCACTGCAACCTCCACCTCCTGGGTTCAAGGGTTCAAGCTATTCTCCTGCCTCAGCCTCCCAAGTAGCTGGGATAACAGGCACCCACCACCATGCCCCGCTAATTTTTGTATTTTTAGTAGAGAAGGGGTTTCACCCTGTTGGCCAGGCTAGTCTCCAACTCCGGATCTCAAATGATCCACCCACCTCAGACTTCCAAAGTGCTGGGACAAGAGGCGTGAGCCACCATGCCCAGCCTACATTTCATTTCTTTTTACTGTCTAATTGCACCATCAAGAACTTCAAAAACAATGTTATGCATTTGTAGTGATCATGGGTATCCTTGTGTTGTTTTATTCAATGGGAATGTTTTTATTGCCTGGCTTATTTTTGTACTTTAGTAGAGACGGGGTTTCGCCATGTTGGCCAGGCTGGTCTCCAACTCCTGACCTCAGGTGATCCACTCACCTCATGCCTCCCAAAGTGCTGGGATTACAGGCATGAGCCACCGCGTCTGGCCATCTATTCCTACTTTTAAAAACAGTTTTTAAAATTAGAAATAGTTGCTGACTTTTCACAGTATTAAAAATATTTGTGGCTGGGTACAGCAGCTCATGCCTGTAATTCTAGCACTTTGGAAGGCCGATGTGGGTAGACTGCCCACACACAGGAGTTAAGAGAACAGCCTGGGCAACATAGTAAAAACCTGTGAACAGAGGAGTTAGAGACCAGCCTGAGCAACACGGCAAGGACCTGTCTCTGCTAAAAAACTTTTAAAAAATTGGCCAGGTGTGGTGGCATGTGCTTGTGGTCCCAGATGCTCAGGAGGCTGAGGTAGGAGGATTGTTTGAGCTTGGGAGGTTGAGGCCGCAGTGAGCTGTGACTGCACTACTGCACTCCAGCCTGGGTGACAGAGAGACCCTATCTCAAAAAAAAAAAAAATTGCCTTCCTATTTGTACTACTATATTTTTAACATATCCTCCATTTAAATCTTTAAGAGTTTAGTTTTATTGGTGCATAAACATTTATTGTTTTCTCAAACAGTACACTGAGTATAGTAAATTAGTCATCTTCAAAGCCAGATGAAAGCACACTCTAACCCACAATGTTACTGTCTATACATGACCATTGACTAGTTCACGGTTACAGCTAGCTAGCTAGGTCTCCCAGAATGGAAGTATATTACCCAGTGATGAATATTAGTCAACTTCGCCAGGAAATAGCAAGAGCTATTAGGTATTTTCAGAATTTTATAATGGTGACCAAAAAAAAAAAAGTAAAACAAGTCCCTCTAGCATGGCATTTATTTTCTCAGATGTTTCTCTTTGTCATTTTAAATACATGTGCACATATCCAATGCAGAGATTTAAAAAAAAAAAAAAAACCCGAACTCCTGTGATAATGAAAATGTCTCGAGCCCAATATATTACCTGCAATATGTCTCTATGCCGCTGTAATGTATGCATCAGGGCCGCATTCAAGGAGGGGACACCTGCACTGTTGGTATATTCTGCCATTTTATCGTTTACCCCTGTAAGCTAGAAATAAAGAAAAAAAAATATTTTACTAAGCACTATAAACAGCTAAAAGCAAATTATTTGCCTATATGCCCTTTTGGTTGACAGCAAAACAAAACAAAACAAAAAACAAACAAGATATCAAGTAAGAATTAAGCATTCCCCCACATAATCCATAAAGACCAAAATAACATCGTATCACCTGAGAATGGCTGTCATCAAAATTCAAGTGGTGTGGGGAGGTACACATCTTGAATGGAATGGATAATTTCATTAAACATGTCTGTCTCAATACAATCCAGGATCCTATCTAACAAGTATACAGTTATTTGCAAAACAGCCATTTAACAAAGCACTTACCCTTGCCAAAAGTTGTTCAATCTCGATCGCCATTGTCTCAAACATTCTGTCTTGGCTTGATCCATTTAAAAGAGGTGTTGTATCAGAACTAAAAAGAAGTTCAGTTAAAGAGGATCCATTACTCAAATGCAGTCCTTTAAAACATACTTAAAATAATAAGGTAATTAATATGAACCATAAAATGAATTATGGATTATGTTATATAGGGTCTGTGAGAAACAATCTTTTACATTTTTACCCCAAAGGAATTATGGTTCCTTCAACCTCAACTTTAAGTTCTCTCTTCTTTCCTTGACTCTTACCAAGAGGAAATAAGATTGAGGTTTAAGTGATCCACAGATTGGATAACTAGCTAACGAATACTCAGGAACTGGCTTTACATTCAATATATACAGCCACCTGCATACTTTGGTACTAATCTTCTACATTTCCACTTACAGTATGCAATCATCTTTTTGTTTCGTAGAATTGTGTTAAATTGCCTTTTCAAATCTGAATGGTCAAAAATCTATCTTTTTATAAGTGAAACTTATGTTTGACAGATTCAAATTCTAAACCCACCTGTCCTGAGTGTTTCTTTTGCCTTTTCTAAAACACCACTAACTTTCATCAGGTTAGGTATGTATTAGCATCCAATGAGCAGCTCAATACAGATCGGAGTTATACTGGACACAGATAAATGCCCAGGCAATGACTATGCGCTCCAATCTTACCGAAGACTTTGTCCTACCCTGTGACAGTGCCTGGGTGTGGCAAATGAAAAAGATTAAAAAATGCTCTGTAGACTACTAATATAAATCCTCCTCTACCAGATATATGAAAAAGAACAATATGCCAATAGAATTAAAGCTTCATGAAGGGAGGAAAAAACTGCTCTGTCTTATTTATTGATATATGCCTAGCACCTAGTATAGAGCCAGGCACATAGTAGATGCTCACTAAATGTTTGTTGAATGAATGAATGAGAGAGCAATCTCTACTACTGGTTATTCCATACTCCTTATATTCATATATTCATCAGGACAGTGTAAGACTAAAGGGAAATGGCCAAAAACTAATTCTTCACAATACTAGGATTCAGTTAAATTTAATTCATCTTATAGGTGGGTAATGAATGATTCATAGACCTTGAAGTTTTCAAAATACAGAAAGTTAAAAAAAAAAAAAAAAGAAAGGAAGATTCCTGGAATAAATAATATTCTAGTTATTGCTTAGTTGACTCATTGTGACATGCTTCCAACCTGGGCATCAAACAAGACACTTTAGAATACACATCAAATCTTGATCCTCATGGCCTTAGATTTTTATTTAAAAGGGTAGTTAGGTTGAAGTAATTCTACAAAGCCAGTTTCAGTTTGTGGTAGAATTTCTTAGGAAATGTTTTCAAGATAGTTTTTCCTTTAGAGGAATAAAAAAAGTATTAGTTCGTGAAGCACACGGAATATAGAAAATGCATAGAAAGAACATTCTTCATTCTCTTGCTAAATAAAGCCAAGTCCAAAGCAATGCAATCTATTTGATGTGTTAGTAATTTATTTTGAGATCCTAGAGTCAATGTTGGCCCTGCTGCCTTTACAACCAATGAGTCCTTATGAAAAAGAAACAGTACTTTGGCTATAGTGTTGAAATTAGCTTTTTGTTCAAATGTACACAATATAGTAGGGTTTAGACTGTGGGTCTGGAGATAGACCTAGATTCAAATCCAAGCTCAGATTTTACTGTTTTTATTAGCTGACAAATATCCTACTCACTTCTAATCTTTGAAAAAGTATGTAAAATAAGTGTGGATTAACAACAACTCTGCTACCAGCAATTTTACCACTAGGTATATAGAAACATTCTGTGTAAAAATGTTCCCAGCAGTATTTATAGAAAGTGCTTACCTAACATATAATGAACACTCTATGTCAGCTATCAAAATTGTTATTATTAATTAGCAAAAATTAGAAACAATGGCCATCATCAAATGGTTAAACTGTGATACAGTCATAAAATACTACATATAAATTACAAATGAATATACCAGAGTTAAATGAATCCATTGCTGAATCTCAAAAATGTTAAAGAAAAAAAAAGTTGTAAAATAACTATACTATATATATACCATATAACATAATAGAATACGATGAATTGCTCAGGAATACAAACATGCAGTAAGAATACATTTTGATTAAGGGGTGGGAGAAAGTGGGGGGCCATAAGGGGCTTCAATGGAATGAGTAATTATCATTTTTTTAAAATGGGAGAAAGGCACTTGGGGGTCCATGATATTACTCGTTGTAACTGTCTTAAATACTGCCTAATTTAAAACAATTTTTTTTTATTTCTTTTTTTTTTTAGAGACAGGGTTTCACCATGTTGCCCAGGCTAGTCTTGAACTCCTGGGCTCATGTGATCCATCCACCTCAGCCTCCTAAAGTCCTGGGATTACAGGTGTGATCCACTGTACCTGTCTACTCCTAATATTTTCTTGAAACAAGTGGATGACTTAAAGTGAGCATAAGCTTCAAAGATAAGAACATATTTTCCATACATTTAATATGGTAATATACTAGTTTCTCCAAAAAGTACCAAAATTAAAGACTTTGATAATGAATAACAAGGACACACAGTGCATTAGATACCCTCTAATAGAATAAACACCAGAAAAGCAGTATGTATACTTGGTACTTGGGTAGATCCACAGGTCCATTTAGCAATTGGAAAACACAAGAAATACATACCACATGGGCAAATCAGCCACCTTTTCCCTACACTGGCTGAAATAGACACTCATATTTTTAATACAAACTTATTCTGAGGTTCTAGCAGGCTTCTCCTGACACTGTAACAATCTTTGTCTAAAGATTCCAAATAAATGCTAGTCTCAAGAATTTGGAAGAATTTTAGTAAGTCACTAAAAAATAAAACAGTCAATGACAAAACACCAAAACTTCACCAACAGACCAACTTACAGAAGTTATATATTTTAGTTTCTTTTTTAACACTTTAAAAGCATAGTTAAGGCATAAGAGACAGAATCTGGTAGTACCTATACCTGTCGCGTCTTCCATCTCGGGTACTGCTATGACTGTAACTTGTACATAGTTTGCTGAAGGAAACTAGTTTCAGGTCAAGTTCATTTTCCAGCTGTCGAGCCTGTTTCCTGAGATCTTTAACAAAATTACAACAACAAATAATTAGACATAAAAAGTAGACACAAAAATCACAAGACTATTCTGAAGAAAACAAACTATGAAAATGATCATATACTGATCTAGCTACACCCATAAAGAAAAGTGTTGGCTGGACACGATGGCTCACGCCTGTAATCCCAGCACTTTGGGAGGCCAAGGCGGGCAGATCATCTGAGGTCGGGAGTTCGAGACCAGCCTGACCAACATGGAGAAACCCCATCTCTACTAAAAATACAAAATTAGCCAGGCGTGGTGGCGCACGCCTGTAATCCCAGCTACTCAGGAGGCTGGGGCAGGAGAATCGCTGAACGCGGGAGGTGGAGGTTGCAGTGAGCTGAGATTGTGCCATTGCACTCCAGCCTGGGTGACAAAAACAAAACTATGTCTCAAAAGAAAAAAAAAAAAAGGAAAAGAAAAGTCTTAAAAGAAGGAAACCAAGGACTTGCCCAGCAAAGCAGATTAGTCACTTATAAACTTCAGAGGGGACAGGAAGGGAAGTAGTAATGGGAGATGCAACTTTGCAGCTTTACTCCAAAGATGGCTAGAAAACAAAAGTTGTTCTACCATTCCTGAAACTATTTATATAGTGATAACTAAAATTCTGTAATTCAGAGAAAAACAAGAAGAGAATACAAATCACAAATGAACTAAAACTATGGTTTATGACCAGCATTATCAACTTACCAGTTAATGTTATAAGAAAGAAGCCATTATTCTTTTGAAAGGGATTTTGCTTTTTATGTTCCAAAGCTTTATTAGGCTCATGAACTTCTTTGCATAATAGCAAAATGATTTTTTTTTTTTTTTTTTTTTTTTGAGATGGAGTCTTGTTCTGTCACCTAGGCTGGAGTGCAGTGGCATGACCTTGGCTCACTGCAGACTCCACCTCCTGGGTTCAAGCAACTCTCATGCCTCAACTATCTCCCAAGTAGCTGGGACTACAGGCACATACTACCACGCCTGGCTAATTTTTGTATTTTTAGTAAAAACAGGGTTTCACCATGTTGGCCAGGGTGGTCTTTAACTCCCGACCTCAAGTGATCCACCGACCTTGGCTTCCCAAAGTGCTGGGATTACAGGTGTGAGCCACTATGCCCAGACCAAAATGACTTCTCAATTGAACATAAAGAAAAAAAGTTACCATGAAAATTGCCTTTTTCTTTCTTTTCTTCTTTTTCTTTTTTTTCTGTTATTAGAGATGAGGTCTCACAATGTTGCCCAGGCTGGTCTCGAACTCCTAAGCTCCAGTGACCCTCCCGCCTGGGCCTCCCAAAGTGCTAGAATTACAGGCATGAGACACTGCGCCTGGCCAAAAATCGCCTTTAAAAAACTTACTGAAGCCAGGCAGAGTGGCTCACGTCTGTAATCCCAGCACTTTGGGAGACCAAGACGGGTGGATCATGAGGTCAGGAGATCCAGACCATCCTGGCTAACACAGTGAAACCCTGTCTCTACTAAAAATACAAAAAATTAGCCAGGCGTGGTGACGGGTGCCTGTAGTCCCGCTACTTGGGAGGTTGAGGCAGGAGAATGGCATGAACCTGGAAGGCAGAGCTTGCAGTGAGTGGAGATTGAGCCACTGCACTCCAGCCTGGGCGACAGTGCAAGACTCCGTCTTTAAAAGAAAAAAAAAAACTTACTGAAAGTAATTTGGAGGGCTAAAACTAACAATAAACTATATGCTACTAACAAGGTCGAATATGAGTATGACAGAAATAAGTATGTAAGTTTTAACAGCAGAAGCAAACAAGCAAGTAGAGAAATTGGTTTAGCAGTCTGGCATCTAAGGGGTTGTGTGACAGAAGCCACAGTCTGGACAACCACACACAGATACGAGTATTCTCATTCAAGGTAAGTAAAAGTTAAAATAAAAGGGCAGAAGTACCAGAGGTAATGGTGTAAGAATCTCTCTTTCAGTGATAAAGAATACAAAACATTATTTCAATACACTTTTCAACCAGAAATAGAAAGCGTAGTTAACATAGTGGAGCATATTTACCCAGAGACCAAAAGCCAGTTCGAATCTCGGCACAGCCACTTACTGACTCTAAGATGTATCAACAATCTACTTAACCTATGACCTTCAGCTTCTGGTTTTTTAAACCCCTACCTTCAGGGTTTGCCTATGTATTGGTAATCATATGCTTAAAGCAGCTGGCACACAGTAGGTTGTCAGTAATGAGCTGCTGTAATATCATAGCACGCTGCTTCAAAAAACCACAGCCTAACGACTAGTAATAAAGATATCAGTAGCCTCTTCTACATAATTTTAAAAAGTTTTCTAGCAGCCAGGCGCGGTGGGTCATACCTGTAATCCCAACACTTTGGGAGGCAAAGGTGGGCAGATCACGAGGTCAGAAGATCAAGACCATCCTGGCCAACATGGTGAAACCCCATCTCTACTAAAAATACAAAAATTAGCCGGGTGTGGTGGTGCGCACCTGTAGTCCCAGCTACTCAGGAGGCTGAGACAGGAGAATCTCTTGAACGCAGAAGGCGGAGGCTGCAGTGAGCCGAGATCGATCGCGCCACTACACTCCAGCCTAGGCAACAGAGCGAGACTCTAGATTCTGTCTCCAAAAAATAAAATAAAATAAAATAAAAAGTTTTCTATCTAGTACACACATTTCAAATGGGCATGGTGATACACGTTTTAAACTATAAGCACGCTTTTCTGTGATTGGAATAATTGTCTTCTCCAGTAGGAAACACAAGTAAAAGCATTTAGAAAGTATGATAGGCAAATCTGGATAAATTTAGAATGAAGTTTCTCAGACCAAGGGGCTGATAGTGACAATATTGTGGTTTCTAGAGGCTTCAGTGGATAGCAATAGAAACAGGTCAAAGGAACTTGGAAAGTAGTTTCTATGCTGCAGTAAAGCAAAGAGAGAGTTGGGAGAAAAAGGTGAGCTTTCTCTGCTCTTGTTGATCACCACGGTCCAGGAATGAGTTTTACGTAAGCTCACTTTATCGGACTATATTTTCAGGAATTAAATAAATGCATTTGTCAAATCACAAGAAGGTTTTTTGGTGGGAGAAGTATAGCAAATGTAACTGCAATTCACACAGGTTCTCTCAACTTTTTCATTAAAACCGATTCTAAGACTCCAGAGCAGTATGGTAAGTCATTTTCTCTTCCTTCAAACACCCAACCCTGAAGTTCCCAGCCTGTAGTTGTCATGCGGACCCAACAGGAGACATTCTGTCTCCCATTCTCTTCATACTTCCTCCGGCGGACCGGAATGCAAGTTCCTCCTTTCTTTTCCCACTCAGATTTCCAATAGTGACCTCAACTCCACTGCGCCGACTCCTCCAGTCTCCCGGGCTCTGGATCTTCTCCCTCAACATTCGTTTCCTCTCAGAGTTCGTACCCCAAGCCCCTTCGTCCGAGTTCCATTACTCCCTCAACATAATTCTACCCAGGCGATTCAGATCCCTCTTCCTCCACATCCCCGCTCTGTCCACTCTGTCCAACCCCTGCCCCACGTCCCGCTCACAGGGGCCGGCCAGGCCAGACCCCTGCCCCAGACCGTTCGGTATCCCCAAGGCCCTGGGGCTCCCAATTAGGCAAGCCCCGCTGCTCAGCTCGGCCGCTCCGGAGGTCTGGTTCTTTCCTCTGCTGTTTCTCCCAAGATCTGTCCTCACTCAGCCCCTCTCACCCTCGTGGGACGCACCCGGAGGCCTTCTCGCCCTCACCTTCCCAGTAATTGCTGGTTCCTGCCGCCATCTTTGTTGTCCAACGTCAGCCGGGATAGAGGAGCAGAGGCGATACAGGCCAGAAAGTCACCACCGCGCCTGTTTCCGCCCCGAGCGCCAGGGCTGACGGGATGCGAGCCTCCGCGGACACTGCCACCTGCTGATCAATTCGTTATCTTACAGCTTTTAAGTAGCGACAGATCAAAAACTTCAGCTTTAGCTCCTGACACTCTCAGAATGTCTGTCTTTCGTTCCCTCTTTCTGCGCCCCAAACCATCATCATCTCCCTTATCCCGGCTTATCCTTTCTCTCAGCAGGTGCCTACTTGACTGGGAGGAGAATCATCCTCAGGCAACGCCCTCAATTTCCTTCACCGTGTCTCTAATGTGTATCTTCAGCCAATTTCATCTTTTCTCATACACAGAGACCCTTTCTTCCCAGAGCCATTTCCTTCATCCTACCTCCCCGCCTGTGCTCCATCATCCACGTTCTCTAGCATATGCGCTCTTCTCCACTGGCTGCTTTCCTTGTGTCTACAGTAGTTCTAGTTCCAGCCCTCTTTCCTTGTCAGCCGCCACATCTAGAAAGAGTGAGCTAACTGCTTCTACATGCTCTCGGCCTGAGCCCTCAACCTGCTAAAATCTGCTGTGCAAACCCACACTTTATAGATACATAAATTATCTGCTGGTGCTGACTTAATTCTAGTGAAGTGTAGAAACCTTAATTCCTGTAAAGTTCTTTCCCCCACTCATTTATAATATAGTTCTTTTTAAGTATTTCCTCTGCTTTCATTGAGAGAACCACATCAGTCAATGTTTTAATATTTGCTTCAAGTGTCAGGCATAAGTTAGAGAATTCAAGAGAAGAGGAAAGCTTACTTGATTTATGCATATTTTACTCTTCTTCCTTCCTACTGTCCCAAGATTCCTTTTTTTAATCGTTTCCTTTCTGTTTCAAGAATTTCCCTCAGCCATTTTTTTTTAAAGAGTAGGTCAGCTGGTGACAAATTCTATTAGTTTTTCTTCATCTGAGAATGTCTTGATTTCGCTTCATTCTTGGGGGATCGGATATTGTTGCCAGATATAGAATGTGAAGTTGACAATTTCTTTTTTTCAGCACTTGAAAAATGTGCCAATTCCTTCTGGCCTCCATAGTTTCAGATAAGAAATTGGCTACAATTGGAATTGTTTTTCCACTGTAGCTAAAATATATTTTCTCTCTCACTGCTTTCAAGAACTGTTCTTTAGTTTTCAGAAGTTATGATGTGCCTTGGTGTAGATTTCTTTGGATTTATCCTGTTCTTGATATCCTCAGCTTCTTGATTATTACATTTATGGCTTCTGCCAAATTTGGGGGATTCTCAGCCATTGTTTCTTCCAATACTTTTCCTATCAAATACTGTTTCTCTTCTTTTTCTGGGAGTCTGATGATGTGAATGCTAGATCTTTTGTTAATGTCCCACATAGCTCTGAAGTTATGCTAATTTTTTTTTCAGTCTAGTTTCCCTCATTCGGATTTGGTACTATCTACTATTCTGTCTTCAGATTTGCTGACGGGAAAGTATGTCTTTCCTTTGTTCCCTCCATTCTGCTGTTGAGCCCATCTGTTGAGTTCATGTCAATTATTGCATTTTTCATATCTAAAACTTCTGTTCAGTTCCTCATTATATCTTCTGTTTCTTTGCTGAGACTCTTTTTATCATTTGTTCTAAGTTTGTTTGTAATTGCTCACTAAAGTATTTTTATTAGAGCTGCTTTAAAGTCCTTGTCAGATAATTCCAACATCTGTGTCATCTTGCTGTTGGGGTCTGTTGTCTTCTTTTCACTCAAGTCGAAATTTTCTGGGCTGTTGGAATGACAATTTTTATAAATTGTATCCTGATGTTTTAGGTATTTGTTATGAGATTCTGGAATTTAAGTTTTCTGTTTAAGCAGACTTGCTCTGACACATGCTGCTGGGGGGCATAGGGAAATGCTTGCTACTACCAGGTGGGAGTGGAAGTTCCGGCTCTGCCTTGGCCTTCATTGATTCCCCAGGGAGGAGGTGCCTTGTTACTGCTCCCCATGTGGTCCCCATTGCCACCATGGCAGGGAGCCTCATTACTGCTGTTCGGTGGACAAGAAGTCCAAGTGGGTGTGGGTGGGGCACTTCATTACAGCTGGTGAGTGTGGAAGCCTAGCCTCCTCTCTCAGCCCTTGATGGCAAGGAGTGAAGATGGGCCTCAGTTTTTTCTGTGGCATTTGTCCAGAGTGGTGAAATTATTGTCCAAAAGTATTCTGTCTTGTTAGGATACCTGTTTCCTGGTCCCTTGTCTGGAGAGAGAAGGCTTTCCATTTTCCTTTGGGCTTTTCTTGTCTGCACCCTTTGGCATTTCTAGGTTGCCAGCTTCTCCAGCACTCAGTATAGGACATAGGAAACAAAAAGGAAACCCAGGGAACTCAGCTTCATGTTCTTTACATTCTGAGGTCCCTAGCTGGTCTGCCTTCTTTTTTCCACCTTTTTGAGTCTATATATATATATTAGCTGTGCTTAGTGGGAGGAATAGAAAGAAATACAACTAATCCGTCTTGTCCAGAAGTGAAATTGTCCCTTTAATTTTTAAATGTTTTAATTATCAGGCTGGATGTGGTGGTTCATGCCTGTAATCCCAGCACTTTGGGAGGCTGAGGTGGTCGGACTGCTCAAGTCCAGGAGTTTGAGGCCAGCCTGGGCAACATAGTAGGACCTCATCTCTACAAAAAATTAAAACATTAGCCAGGCGTGGTGATGTACCCTGTAGTCCCTGCCACTCAGGAGGCTGAAGTGGAAGGATTGCTTGAGTCCTGGGGGTCAAGGCTGCAGCGAGCCATCACCACACCACTGCGCTCCAGTCTGGGTGACAGAGTCAGATCTTGTCTTAAAAAACAAACAAACAAACAAACTGCTAAAATTCTTCATCTTGTCTTCTACTTTCTTGAATTCATTCATTCATCATCTTTTTTTTTTTTTTTTTTTTAAGACAAGTCTTGCTCTGTCCCCAGGCTGGAGTGCAGTGGCACAATCTCGGCTCACTGCAACCTCTGCCTCCCGGGTTCAAGAATTATCCTGCCTCAGCGTCCCGAGTAGCTGGGAATACAGGTGCCTGACACCACCCTGGCTAATTTTTGTATTTTTAGTAGAGACAGGGTTTCACCATATTAGCTGGGCTGGTCTTAAACTCCTGACCTTGTGATCTGCCTGCCTCGGCCTCCCAAAAGTGTTGGGATTACAGGTGTGAGACACTGCGCCCAGCTTTTTTTGTGTGTGTGTGTGAGACGGAGTCTCGCTCGTCACCCAGGCTGGAGTACAATGGCATGATCTCGGCTCACCGCAACCTCCACGTCCCGCGTTCAAGCGATTCTTCTGCCTCAGCTTCCTGAGTAACTGGGATTACAGGCATGCACCACCACGCCCGGCTAGTTTTGTATTTTTATTAGAGATGCGGTTTCTCCGTGTTGGTCAGGCTGGTATCGAACTCCCGACCTCAGGTGATCCGCCCACCTCGGCCTCCCAAAGTGCTGGGATTACAGGCGTGAGCCACCGCACCCGGCCCATCATCATTCTTTAAAAATTTCTGATAACTGAGAAATATGTACTTCCCATAGGATTGTTTCTATTTTTCTTGATCATTCACAATGTAATCGTCTTTTGATAAGAACTTTTGATTGGATGCTGTATATCATAGATAAAACTTTGTATTAATCATTTGAGGATCTAGATGATGTTGTCTTTCTTCAGAAAGAATTTACTGCCTCTTCTTGCAGGCAGTTCAGGTAGGGGCAGAGCAGCTTAATCCAGTATGGAGTGGAACTAATACCAAGAGGGATTCTGTGTTTGTTAAAATTGGTCTATTTCTGATTAGCCCTTCATTCTAATGTGTAGCCATTCAGGTTTCCTAACTGGAATACTGTTTACCAGTGCCACTTCCTTGGCAGGTACTAACCTCGTATTTTCCCCCACCCAGTGATACTGCCCAAAACTTCTGTTTGGGTTCTCTGTCTCTTGCCTGGCCTTTCTTCTGTTACCTATGAATTGAAAAATGCCTGGAGGTGAAAGTTTTACCACCACACTCACCTCTCAGCAATTTTTGTTCTGGGATCTTGATCCCATAAGTCCTTCTTACATTAGTAGTTCTCCAATCCTTCAAACAGCTGTTTTTTTTGTTTGTTTTTAAATCAAATTTAGCTTTTCTAATTGCTTTTGATGAGAAGTCTTTCCGTTTCAAGCCAATCCACTCATAGCTGAAAGTGGAACTAAATTTTATTATTTCTAATTTATCTGTAGATTCTTTTGTATTTTCCACATGTATAATCATATCATCTGCTAATAATGATAAATTCATTTCTTATCAATATTCATTCATATATGCTATTTATATTTTCATGTTTCATGGCTGAGATCTGTTCTGATAATAGAACAAAGCTAAGGTATTAAATACTTTAGTTGGTATTTTTGTTGGCATGTTCAGGGAGGAGTTGTAAGTGCTCTGATTTTGCAGTTCTCATTTGACTAGCAGGACTCTAAATTTTCCTCCTTTTCTTCTTTTCATCACCTAATTGTCTTTTGCTTCTTTTCTTTTCATCACCTAATTGTCAAAAGTGCTTCTCCTTTTTTCATTTTTTCCCTTCACTAGCTCTTTTTTTCTTTTCTTTTGAAGCTGTGTGTTTCAAAGACTGCCTCATTAAGTCACACCTGCCCCCTTTAAATTGTGCTCACTCTGAAGCCCCTTCCCTCTGGTTTCTGCTCAGATCTGCTTGGACATGTTTTTTAGATTGAGAGTTAGGTGGACCTAGTCTTTCTGGCAGTAGTTTTAGGCCAAGAACATTACTTTCTTTTTCTGGCATCCCTCTCCTGACTTCCCTGCAGTTTATCTTCATCTGCCTTCGCTCCACAGAGCCTGTGGGATGCTACTGGGGTGGGCCTGTGAGAATCCATGTTGCGATCTGCTGATTTTCCTCGTCTTACTCGGTTTGAAGTTTCAAAATTCTCTGACTTCAAATTATGCTGGGAGCGTGATTTCTGTATACTTTTTCCTTCGTGTGCTTGCACTAATGAAATATTGGGAGACAAGGTAGCTAGGCTGCCACTAAGGTTTTCAGCGACCTGGAAGTTTGCTTTC